ACAAAAAGAGTTCGGTTGGAACAAGAAAAAAATGTGTTTACTCTTGACGTCGGATGCTGGAAAATCGATTTTTTTCAAATTTTGAGAGAATAGATGATGGTACGATTTATACTCTAAAACTATAATTTTTAAGCCTAGAACAATTCAGAACAAAAAGGGCTCGGTTGGAACAAGAAAGATAATATAAGTTTACTCTTGGTCCGGTAGACTGTCAAAAACTTTTTTGTCACTTTTGGGACTTATAATTCAACTTATGGATTTGTCTTTTTGGAACAATGTTTGGAACAACTAGAACAATCTATAGCGGTATCGAAATGTTCGATTTTTGAAAAAAGGGGTGCCAGTTCAAAAAATCACTTGTTTTCGGAACCGTTCGGAAACCGTTTGGAATGAAGCAATAACACTTTGAAACAATGTAGTATAAAGTCAGAACAATTTGGAACAACTTTCAAAATTATAAATTTCGAAAAAGGGGTGCCAATTTCATAATACCCTACATAAAGCTTATTTTGTAACTTTGTAAAATACTGTTCCATTATGTTGTCGTTACGCGGTTTTTCTACAATATATAAAGTGATCCACGTGAAATGTTTTAAGTTAATATCTCCAGAATTATACAGTGCCCGCCAAAAGTTTCGGGCCTAAATAACTTTTGAATGGTTTAAGATATTGGATTGAGATTTATAGTGATACAATGGGATTACAAAGTCTATCATTTAACCACAAAAACACCCACCTCCACATTACGGGGGGGGGGAAGAGGGAGGTCAGAAAATCTTAAATGATATATAGGGTTGAGTGAGGGCTCGTTTGAAAGAACTTTCCGAGATGAGAACAACGTGGGATCATCGAGATCTCTACGATTTTTTTTCGCAGAGTTATGATCATTTAAAAATTTCTATTGAGATTTTGCGATAAAGAGGCCACGACGAGTAAGGCTTCACGCGTGTTTCTAAGCAGGTAGAAGCACATTTGTGTATCTGTGCATGCGTGCGTGCGCACGCGTGTTTATGTTCGCCGCGAGGATAAGAACTCCGTGGTTCGTTAGCTCCATAATATTTCACGACTTCAGACTCTCTTTACCGCGAAAAATGCAGGCACACCTATAAAGTTTCTAACACTGATGATATGTATGAAGGAATAAAAACATTAATTATTTCATTAAATGTTTTAATTGGTGTCCTTCGACAACTTGGCAGTGTCCTAAGCGAACGTAAAACGTATCCGTAACGTTAGTTAATTAACGTTAGTTAGTTAAGATCTGGTGTAACTGAATTCGAAACGTTCACTATTTTTTCTTGCAGCTCTTCTAAGTTTGCGGACTTGGTTTCATAAACTTTGGCTTTTAAATATCGCCGATAAAAAAAGTCCAATGGGGTCAGATCTGATGACCTCGGTAGCCATTCTATTGTGCCTCTTCTACCAATCTATTGATCAGTAAAAACATCATTGAGAAGAAATCGAGCTTCCAGAGAAAAATGAGCCGGAGCCCAATCCTGCTGAAACTAAATATTGTGGAAAACATCTCCAGCAATATTCTGAATAGCTGGTATCACTTAGTTATTTAGTAAATTGTAATAATTTTGTGAATTTGTTTCCTTCAATAAAAAATGGTCCTATAATACGATTAAATATTATTTCGACCCAAATATTAACTTTCTGAGGATACTGCGTGTGACCGTTTTTCATTCAATGCAGATTTTCATTTTCTCAGTATCTCATATTTTGTTGATGTACAGAACCATTTAATTCAAATGTTGCCTTGTCAAAAAAACAGATCCAGTTAAAAACTGATGATTATCACTAAATCATTGTTATCATTGTGTTGCAATTTTACTCTTTTGTCATAGTCGTCTTCGGATAGCCCCTGAACTAGATGTATTTTGTAAAGATGATAGTGATGCCTTTTGAAAATTCGATGGACTGATATCGTTGCGCTAATATCATTTTGTTGAGCTGCTTTCGAAACCGATATATGAGGATTATTATTTACAGTTAGCAGAACATCTAAAGCTTTTTCATTATTAGTGGCATCTTTGGGTCTTCCGGATCTTGGTGCCTTTAATTGAACCGGTTCTTTGGAAACGACCAACAGTTGTCTTTCAATAGTCTTTCAACAGTCTTCTTTGTTTTTGAAATTGGATCACGGTCAGGATAAGTGGCATTGAATAAATCCGCTAATTCTCGATAGAACCTCACTGTCGTCATACTCTCTCATCATTAATATAGTGATCCTTTCCATATCAGTTAAATATATTTTCTGATAAAAGAAATGTACTAAAATGAAAATTACAAAATCAAATAAGGAATTGAACCGACGCTCTCCAAAATTCTAAAGTAACTGCATATGAATTTATAATGTATTAACTTATAGTTGGAACTTATAGCTTATTTGATTGTAACTCACAAATCACGTAAACACGTATGGCTGAACGCGTGTATTATATTGTATATTCCATAGCACAACCAAGTGAGACTAAGTCTGGGAGGTCTAGGAATCCTCGTGGCGAACACGCGCGCGCGCGCGTACACACACGTACACACATGTACTTCTATCTACTTAGAAACACGCATGAAGTCTTATCTTACTCGCCGTGGCCTCTTTATCACAAAATCTCAATGAAAATACTTAAATGATCATAACTCTGCAAAAAAATTCGTAGACCTCAATGATCCCGCGTTGTTTTCATCTCGGAAAGCCTTTTCAAACGAGCCCTCATCCTCAACTCCACATGTAATTTAAGATTTTCCGACCTTCCTCTCCCCACGTCCCTCATAATGTGGAGATGGATGTTATTGTGGTTAAATGATAGACTTTGTAATCCCATTGTATCTCTATAAATTTCAATCCAATATCTTAAACCATTCAGAAATTATTTAGGTGGCCCGGAACTTTCTTGACGAGCATTGTATGTGAACATTAGATAGATCCTATATAATCAATCTATCAATAGTGTTCAATAGTTAGTTTCCAAATTTTGAACTCAGTAACATACATATAATTATATTAGTAAAATATAGTTCCGCACTGTTTTGCTAAAACCACATACTACTCCCCACTTATAACAGAATGTCTTGTAATAATAAAATTGTTATATGAAAATTATAATTTCCATTATGTAAATACTTTAGATCTTCTCTCTGCGACAAATTTTGTATAAAATCATTTTAGAAAACCATGTTTTCTACAAAAATAACTTATTTTTTTTTGCAGAATACGAAAATAGAATTTTTTTTGAAAAATTCTATTAAACATTTTAAACCTACAACATTCGCGTAAAAAGGGTTCGATTGAAAACTCATTTTGACATAATTATAAAACTTTCTGCAAGTTCAAAAAAAAAAAGCATAAAATGACAAATTGATCTGCATAGTTCCAGAGATATATTTTAACTATATGCGAGCCACTTCCTGTATCATATCTGCACAAAATAATATAACGTTAATAACATTATTGTTGAAAGTTATAGAAAAAAAATTGTAGAATAGGCTCACCAAATACAGATATAATAAATTTCAATATAAACTCTTGAGGCAATTTTCTCCTAATAATTAAACACAATGTAGAAGAGTTAATCGAGATGAGAGAAATTTCTTGTTCTAACAAATCTATTTAGTTCATCCTATAAATGTTCAATTGGGGATTTAAATCTGATATTGACTATCAATTTATTAAATCAATTATATTAAATCGAATATTGACCAGATCTAATATTAAACACTCTTTTCTCACTGAAATAATCCTATATAAACTTTATGCAGTGTTTAAAATTGTTATTTTGTTAAAATATTCAGTTTGAATACTTATTCTTACTTAACTGGTTTATCTCAAATATTTCTAAATAAAATAATTTTGGTGACAAATTTATCTAAAAAATGCCATCAAAATATTGATTCTATTCTCAATTGCAAAATATATGTTTTCAATCAATTCTTATCCTTGTAAAAGCAACTATAATCTTCTTATTGTCAGATAAGAATCTTTTATTACCTTCGAATGCTAGGTTAGGTTAACTTAATAATCAAGTAACAAACCATGAACTAATTAAAATTTTATCATGAAAACATAAATGTTAAATCCATAATTTTTAAAAAATAAATCCTAAATAATATTTATAAATCTTTAAATCTGTAATAAAATTTAAATAATATATTATATATACTTATACAAAGTTGAATTGTTTTACGATCTTTTTAATTCGTGCAGTTGTTTTCTTAGGATATCTTTAACAAAAATAACAAGGCCTTGAGTTATATACAAGTTAATACTCTAAATATACATCGTACAAAATATACTCCCAAAATTTAAGTACTACAATATAACTGTTTTTTTCCTTAAAAATTCATATTACAGTTTCCTTAAAATCTGATGAACATTCCTAACTTCATATCCATGTTATATATGGTATTTAGATATATTGAACATTGTTTCATATTTTAGCTATTACATATAAATTTTGGACAATCATTCAAATTAGATTTTTGAAATTCTTCAGTTTATTAAATAAAAAATGCTTTTATTATGTGTTAATATTAATATGTAGCAAAGAATGTATCCTTATTGCATATACATATATAATATTAAAATTTTCATATCAATGATACAAATTTTGCATGCAACAATATTTTAAGATTTTTTAAATATACTTGTATGTGTGTGTGTGTACACACACATAAATACAGCAAAAATAACATCAATAACATATATCAATGATAAAATTGTCGAAATATAACAATATCAATATATATTTGCCAATATTAATATACTTTCGTTGTAGTAATATATTCTACTCTTTAACTTTAACTTAAATTGATAGGTGTGTATATGTGACTTATGATGTATAGAAAGACATGCTGATATCTCAAAATATTCTCCACAGTCGAACAAAATATTTAACGATCCCAAATTGACGTTGAACTGAATTTTCTACGAAAGGAGTTTTGTATGCGATTTATGTGTAACGATGCTTCTTAATGCAGCACTACAACGAAAAAATTACCTGATAATTTGTGAACTTGTCATTAAAGGTTAAGTGCGCAGCTCATAATCCGTAATCCGGAAAACTCCAGAAGTGCCGGCAACAAAAATATCGCTCGAATCGTGCTTGTCAAATGCAAATTTTTAATGTGATGTTCGACGAAAATACTTTAACACGAAATCACCGAGTTTTTTATTACGACAATATGTATGTACAATATGTATTTCTCTTGGGTGATGGTCGCCAACGGCAAAATTATTAACTACCTGAAGGGCTGCGTTCTGAAATTCACTGCCAGTACTGAAAATGCATAGATTGTGTCACGTATACTATAGATTTTCAGTACTGGCAGTGAATTTCGGAACTCAGCCAAGACGGATCTGTATGATGATACTTTTGCACCCATATTCATAGGGTACATTCAGTACTACAACCGCTCACTGAGCGCTAAGTGAGCTCTTGCATCTGATTGGTGTATATTTTTAAATCTAAAGGAATATACCAATCAAATGTAAAAGCTCATTCAGCGCTCAGTGAGCGGTTGTAGTACTGAATGCACCCAATGCACCCATAGTCAGGCCTTATATTTAAGACTTTCTTAAGTTTCTTTGGTTTGTAGCCAATAAAATAATCCGTGCAGCATTTAAAGATGGATATAAGGAGGTCTCAAATATAAGGCCTGACTATGAATACGGATATTGTTCTGTTCTTTATAGCTGCACTGCTGAACTGGTGCAATAAGCTAGAGTGAGAAAACCTATATTTGTCTCACTTTAACTTATTGCACTAGTTCAACAGTGCAAAAATAGAACTTTGTGCAGAACAGTGCACAAAAAACAGACTACTTGGTTGCGTTCCGATATTCATTGCCAATCCTAAAAATCTATAATATACGTGACACAAACTATCTATTTTTAGTACTGGCAGCACAGATGTCTATACTATACTAGATTGCTAACTTCTCAAAAGAGCTGTGTCCCGCCCATTTTCCGGTTCGGCCATGAAGACCGCCAAGACATGGCGGCGGTGTGTGTTTGTAGTGTGTATGTGAGTACCCGATGCGTATGTAGTAGTGTGTGGTAGTGCGTATGTGACACTTGATGTGTCTACTACTATTTATGTTAGTAAAACTGCAAATCTACAAACGAGATAATGCCGAATAAGTATTGTAAATTTCAAAAATACGAACAAGAAAGAATATCATTTAAAGATGTGTGTATTAATAAGGTGTTGCTAATCTAAGTGTTTGGTAAAGGTTAAAATTAAATTGAATATATACACTTCAAAATATGTCAAAGTATTTGTATTAATATTTTTTACATACATATAAAGAATAAAATGCAACTTATGTGTTATTAAATAATATTAATTTTGTAAATTTGTGTCTGTTACTTGCAGGGTTTCTATCTTTCGTTGTTTTTGTAAGTGAATACATTCTAAGTGTTAAGTATTCTATCGCAGGAATAGTATCACATTCCATCATGGAACTCGTAACAGGTTGTATCAGAGGATCACTATTACATTCCACTGCAGGAACAGTGTCACAAGCAGGAGCTCTCAGAGCTATTGATGGCACAGCCAAATTTTTTAATAGAACACTACTTATATTTGCTTTTTCTATGATATCTGTAGGTAAAAAGTAACCACTACAGATTACATGGTATTTTTTTGGTGTAAAATTTCCTCCGATTGCACAAATCCATTTTTTAAAATCTCTGGACGTTTTATCGGAAATCTGAAATATTAACAATGTTTAATTGCAAGATAACTCTCACATATTACAAACCTCGAACATTTATTATATATAAATGTATTCTACTTACTTAAATAAGTGATATCCTTTTTTATTCGTATTATTGCAATTAACAATGCAACATGTACTTGGCATTATCTCGTTTATATATTTGCAGTTTTACTAATATAAATAGCAGTAGATACGACACATCAGTGTAGACACATCAGGTATCACATACTTACAGTACAGCACTATTACACACGCATCGGATACTCACGTACGCACTACAAACACACACCGCCGCCATGTTTTGGCGGTCTTCATGGCCGAACCGGAAAATAGACGGGACACAGCTCTTGTATAGGTCAAAGATCGAAGTTAGCAATTTAGTATAGTATAGACATCTGTGACTGGCAGTGAATTTTGAAACGCAGTCATAGAGTTTGTTCTTTCCAGCTGAACTCTTTACACTAGTTCAAGAAGTGTACACTGAAGCATTCTTTCTAGCAGAAGTGACGTTAGGTCAGAAAGAAGCTTGAGAGCGGTCACGCCGACGTTTTTGGCGACACCTTTGGCGTAGGTGGCGTTTTTAACGCCACCTACGCCTATTTGTAGCCGGGAACTACGTTGACTACGCTCATTTGCAAGCGCAGAGAAAAGCCTAAGAGCGGGCATTTACAGCGTTATTGAAAAGTTGGCTGATTCGAAGCGCCAACTGGGTCCATTTTCATGAACATGAACTACTAAGCCAGGTAAATATAGAGAATTTAGGCCTATACGCCGATTTTGACGAGACTAGGCTTATTCGATGCGTTTTTGCACGAGAAACAACTTTTTCTCTAGCAAAATCGGCGGTCTGCCTCACGAAGCGAGATATTAAACGTTAAAGTTGACGACTATACAGGATGATTGGAAACAACTTTCGACTTCCTACCCGTACCCCCCCTTCGGTGTGTGTGTGTGTGTGTACATGCTCGGTACAAACATTCGGCTAGTTATTTCAATAATCTTATCATGATTTTGACAACATATATGAAGATTAAAGTCACTCACTGTTCTCATGTACACGTTGGAACAAAAACAATTCTCGTGTTGTCACGATACAAAAATTATAACCCAGCAAACTCAGAATATAACTGTTATATAACATAGGAGCAACATGTAATATAACATATGTTATACTCTACCCAAATAGCCAAAAAGATGTCTTTTAGATTTCTAAAAGATATCTCGCCATGTCTTGAGATATCTTACTTTTTTCCCCAAAAGATTTCTTTTAGGGATCTAAAAGATGTCTTACGCAACATTTTGAGATATCTTTTAGATATCTAAAGATGTCTTGAAGATATCCTTAAGTAATCCTGAAGAAGTCTTAAAGACATCTTGCAGAAATGTAAAAAGACATCTTATAGAGTATTAAAAGATCTCTAATAAGATTTCTTTTATATATCTTCTAAATATCTAAAAGATATCTTAAAAAACATCTTGCAGAAATGTAAAAGACATCTAAAAGATTTCTTTTACACATATCTCAAAGATGTCTAACAAATATCTTTTAGAAGTCTTCAATATATTTTAAAAAACATAAATATTGAGAAATGAATAACAAATAATAGCATTGCGTTAATATTATATTTATTGACGATTATATTAACATTACAACACACACACACACATACATATATATATTGTGTATATATTTTTTTATTTATAAATATATATAGTTATTATATTTATAATTATTATATAAAAATTATATTAAATTATATATTAATTATTAATATATAATTATTAATTATATATTAAATATTATAATTATTACACTTTATATTTGACTGTTTTATAATAAAATATGTTTTCATATAAATTATATAACGTAACAACATTGTTTGCGTTAAAACGTTACTTGCTTGTTAAGATATGGGCGTAGCCAGAATTTTTTTTCAGGCAGACCATATACAAGCCACCTCTTTCAATTTAAGCATTCAATGCAAAAAAATTATATAAATTTTATCACTTTATTGCCGGTAAAAAATAAAAAAAAAACTTCAGCGCCTTCGTATAAAAAAATAAATTTTTTTCTACGTTTAGGGGACCGTCTTCCTCTGCCTCCTCCTGGCAACGCCCATGCAAGATATAATTAATTAATTTCTTATTATTAAGTATACAGGCTGTGCGGTAACTCGCTTTAGAAACACGATGTACAGGTAGATTAGGTGAAACTGAAGAAAAAATTCCTATATCATTTTGCGAAGAACCACATAAAATATAGAATTATTAATTAATTGATCATTAGCTAATTTCTTTAATTAATAACACAATTTTACGTCGTTCTTCGCAAAATCATAGAGGAATTGTTTTTTCAGTTTCACTTAATCTATTTTCATATCGCGGTTTTTAGCGGAATTATCGGGCACTCTGTATACTAATTACAGAGTAATTTATTGTTGCACTTTTTTGTTTCGATATCTCATTTTATCACCTGCATGTTGCAGCCAGTTTTTTACATGCTTGACAATCAATGCAATGGTACAGTCAGGTCCATTTCCTTTTGTACGATTGACAGTACCTGTGGATAGTATTTATATGTTTTTAGTACTAGTAGATATATCTGGTTGGAAAAATTCATATCTATTTATATAAACAAAAATAATAGTACTCTAAACATTATGACAAGTTATAGTCCTTACATATCACTAATGTTTAAAAGTATTTTTTGTATCTATATTTGAAAATGATATAAAAGAGAATTTAACATTTGGAAAAATTAAGAGACATATATATATATATAGTTTATTTGTAATTGTTAAAATATACGTACTAACTATAATGTTTGCAAAAGTTGTATTTTCGATTGCGATAGTATTTTTTGCACCAGTCCAAGTCAACTTGTGTCCTACATCAAATGTTATGCAATATGTGAGTATATTGGAGATCATTTTTTGTGTAGAGTCACCACCAATACACTTTATTTTCTTTTCCTGCAAAGAATAATGTTAATATATACGTTAATGTTCGTATACGTGACTTTTTTTCTTTTATTATTTATTATTATTCGTATTTCGATATTACTATATACATATGGCCAAATCTATGTGAGCAGATTTCGAGTGCAATCTAATATCATCAACAGTAGATCGCAAGTAAACAATAAATTTGATGCAAGATATATGAAATCCTGCTACCAAACTATTTTCACATATGCGACAATGTTTTCGATTGGGCATAAAATTATATATTGATGGATACGAAGAAAGTATTTGTACACATACACATATGTATGAATATATAGAGTGTTTGTTTAGGGATCATATTCAATGGAGGCATAGAACTGATTAAGATAAACAAGAAAGTCAAATATCATGTAGTAAAAATTATAAAAATAGCCGATTTATGCATGAACAAAAATTGGTTGTAGAACTCACGTTCGGTCTCTGCAGCTCGCAGATCGAGTTAAATCATCTAACGATACTTACCGGCACGTGACAAGCAGAAGGGAAAATGTGCAGAAATAATCCTTTCTTCTTCTTGCCGCGCGCCGATAACTATTGCTAGACGACTTGATTCGATATGCGAGCTTCAGCGACCAAACGCACCTCTTACTACCGCTGCGATGCACGATTTTTATTCATGCATTACTCAGTAATTTTTATGATTTTTGCAAAAAGATATTTGACTTTTGTTTATCTTAATCAGCTCTATGCCTCCATTGAATATGATCCTTTAGTTAACAAATACTCTGTATACACACACACACACACACACACATACACACACACACACACACACACACACACATATATATATATAATGTGCAATTCAATTAGTGATTCATTGACTGATATGAAGAAAATATTTATTATTCAATATATTCATATGTGTGTGTGATATATATATATATATATATATATCACACACACATATGAATATAAATACTTTCTTCATATCAGTCAATGAATCACTGATTGAATTGCACATTATTCAAAATATACTTACAAAACATTTACGAATTGCTTCATCATTTTTCAATGTTTCATTAAATTGTACGTATTCCTCGACGGATGTCATTGGAAATTCAGGCATTAAATCCATAGTTATTGCTTCATTTTCTTCATTTCTTTGGAAACTTTCTCTTAAAATAGCAACTATTTCTTTCAATTTTGTGTTATTTTTAGCTGCTTCGTGTTTTATCTCTGTTTTGAATTGTTGAAAGTCTTGATGTAAAGTATCTACTTTTTCATATAAAGAACCTGCAAGAAGAACTATTTATATTTCATCATTCATATTTTACTGTAAGCATCTTCAGAGACTAATTTTTTAATGTTATTAATAACTTTGTACACTACAATATACGATAAAAGTATTTTGGAAATATAATAATAACTATATTATATATGATGACAATACTAAAACAATACATTACTAAAATTTACAAATTTTTAGAAATGATTTACTATTTTCACTGTTTAGTATTCATTAGTATGATCAATCAATTAGTATTCATCTATATGAAAGAAAGTATTCATCTATATGAAAGAAAAATGTATCTTACTTATAATTACATGTATATCCTCGTCTACATTCATTTCTGTAATTGGGAGAGCCTTCATCGCTAAATAAAATAATAGAAATAGGTTCACAGATTATTGAATTTACTTATTCAACTAACTTTATATAATATATGCCATGACAAAAAGTATACCGCTATATAATTTGTCATTACCAATTATCTCATTTTCCTTATTATCGATGTTCCGATCATAATCACGAGAATTAGTATCATCCGTCATCTCTTCATCATCTTGCTCATCCTCATGAAAAACTTGAATTGAAAATTGGTGTTCATTTAAAGGTGAAGGGACATTGCAATTAGATGGATTATTTTTGACGGATAAAATTTTATCTTCCTCCTGGAATTCAAAGTATATTAATATACAAATTGTATGTGTGTGTAAATCTAACATATACGTGTGTGTGTACAAATATATATTTATGTATGTATTTATAAATTAAATAACGATTTTTGTCCGAATTTATTCAACTCTCATCTATATTTACATATAAATAAATAAAAATATAAAATACTATTAATTAAGTAATAATTATTCACGTATTGTAATAAATATATAAATGGTTTTATCAAATGCTACTATTTTGTTTCACTGAACAACATAGAAATGCGTGTGAAATGTCTATTTTGCAGCTATGTATTGATAGTTACGATTATTCCAATTATAAATTATTAAAAAATAATCGATGTCTGAATAAAAGCACGTCCTAATTAGCGCTATTTTTCTCTATATATTAATCATTAATATTTGTAGTATTCACCCGCTTCTGCACGTTATATTCCGAACTCACTGATCTAAAATGTAATGAATTTTTCTCAAGTTCAACATTTGTAGATGTAGCTCCAATCCCTTCGTGTATTTTATAATTTGATGGGGGATGTTGATTTGATTTATATTTCTTGGAAATATTACCTATATTTTATAGAAAATTAGTTTTTTCAACGATTTACGACTTATCTTTATAATTATATACTTATCTTTATAATTATATACTTATATATAGTATATAATTATATTAGTAAATTAGTTTTGTTACTCATTTTCAATGTGCTACTTTACGTTTTATCATATTATATTTTGTAATTTGCTGTAATAGAATTTGAAACTTACAATTATTCACGTAATTATTCGATTCATCGTCATAAAATTTTTTTTTCGTTATCAAACGTTTCAGAGGCAATGTTTGGATTGGTTCATTTAAAGAAGCAAATTGAATATCATCCGAAGTGGATATATCAATACAAGATTTTTCTGCTTCCCGAGCCTTATCAAATGTATTGTAAGGTCCTAAAATTTTATGAAAATGACTGATGTTCCAATCATTTCCAGGACTTATCTTCTTCTTTATTGTATTGGTAATATTTTTTTTAGACAATGGAAACGTAAATGTTTTTGCATTAAAGTTTACCCAAGAATCGGGAACGACTTGGCAGTATTCGTCCCAAAATACGACGTAATACATCTGTAACAATAAATACTGATTAAGTAATGATGAAGTATTTAAGAGAATAAATGAAAATAATTTCACTCATAATTATTATGATTTTCTATCCTAAAGCATCCAAATTATGGTTCAAACTTGTCATAATTTATTGTTAAAAAATATTTATATATATAAAACTTATTATTTATATAAATATCTATCATAATTACAAATTGGATTAAACAATATTATTTGTATAATATAATATATTTATGTATGATATAATACAATTTATAAATTAGTAGTTTTATTTATAAATTATTACAGTTGTTTTTATAAAAAATAACAACTCACTTCAATCATTAGTATGTAGAATAGGAATTATACAAAATGTATCTTTGTAAGGAAGTCGCATTGCTTTTGCGCTTATTTGACTTATTGGATACATTCCAATTTCAGACCATTCATTTCCGACATAGATTTTCAAATTTCGCGAATCACATGGATATGAAGATATATTATCGAAATTTTTTAACTTTTTTCCAAGTATTACTGTTTCTCCATTCTTTTTTCCAATATATTCAATCATGAGAACATTTCTGTTATTCATATAACAATAAAAATCGGCTTCTTTGATGCAGGATAGTGTAAATTTTTCAAATATTATTTCTTTATGAGATTGTGTACATCCAAACAATAATTCTTCGTTCTTGGCATTTTGAAGAATGGGATATTCTTCAGGTTTATACCCAATATTTCTTACAGTTTGACATTTTTCCATTAATCGTCTGTGCAATTGTTGTAACGGTTGTGCATTTTTTCGTAGCATTCGTTTCATTTCTTGAAAATAATTTTCGAATGGAAAAGCACTGAACATGTCCAGACACCCATGATTCTTAACATCAACATGTAAATGAACCAAGTTATGTACATTGTATGTAACGTAGTTCTCAGAATATAACATTTTAAATGTTTGTACAAAATGTACTAATAATTCATGTGCATATTCGTTATTGTATTCGCAATCGGCAGGATTACAAAGAATATAAATTGCACAATGTAGAACATAAAAATGTCTCAAATAATCATTTGGCAAATATGACCATAAAATTGATAGACTAGTATATAAGAGAAACAGTCTAAATTCTGTCACTTTCCAGCGATCTAATTCATCTAAACCTCTTGGTTTCCTAGAAAATTCTCTAGGTATGTATGTTATTAACTGCTTTAAATCTATAGATAATTGATCAATTTGAGAAGCACGCAGTTTAATGCCCTTTATTCCTCGGATCCACATATTTATAAGTCTTTTCATGACACCGAGACAAACAAGATGCATATAATCTAATGGGAACTGTGTTACCATTTTCAATCCAATGTTTTCAAAAGGTGAATTATCCACATGATGATCTTCATTATGTCGTAATAAAAATTTTGCATCTGTGCGTAATGGAGCATTTTCATTAAGGAATAACATTCGATTGTTCCTCCATTCACCTTCCTCTTCACATTTATCGCATCCATAATATCCTGTATGACTTTTAATACATTTCATGAATGCTTTTGCCGGGGCGTCGCATATTATAGCATTTATTAAAACTTTGTATTTTTTTCCTCGATATTGGAATCCTTTATTTTGAATTTCACTATATTCTTCAATAAATTGATGAATAATCTCATTCGGTTTCTTCGGCTTACAATATCCGTGGAATACTCCAATGACAAAAGGTTTTTCTCTATAATGAACGTGGACAATTTGCCCTAAAAGTGGCCAAAATTGCGATTTAGAACTCTTTGCCAATGGTAGTCCGTCAATGCTTAAGTTGATTTTAATTTCATTTTCACAACGTTCATGGAGAGGTTTATTATATCGTAAATGATTCTTCAATGCTGTCTGCAATCCATGATAATAAAAAGTACCAGAATGATTCTTAATTATTGATGTTGTTCTCGGAGTTCCCAATAAAGTTCTCGCATTACAAGGAAGCTTTTCATATCCATTGATTTTGAGACCTTGAAGCAATTTTGTTAGAGCCACATGAGTAATGTTATACTCAAGACTCCATGTCCGAAGAAATTTGTATAATGCAAGTTCTTTCTGTACATTAAAACTCAAATCTTTATAACATTGATTATTGCATTCGGCAATCAATTCCATATCAGATTCTGAATAACTACAATTTGAATAAGAATCAATTCTTTGATTGCATTCTTCGACATCTCCATACATATATATATTATTATTATTCAAATAATTGTTACTATTCTCTTCAATAAGAATATTGTCATTAGACATTTCATGAGGAATCTCAATGTCTAAATTAATATTATATGTATCGCCTGTATCAATAGTATGTACTGCACAATCAATATTTTGTCGCCGACGCCATTGTTGAGACCGACTCAAATCGTTATATCTTTTTCTTTTCGGCATTATTAATTTTTTTATTATATGTCGTTTGAAACCTACATACAAATGATGAAAATTTCATGATATAAAGGCAAAATATTTAATAAATAATATGTAGTTCTTCCACATATAAAAATACGAAAATCGAATATCGAATATATGAAAAAGTGAAATTATTCCAGATATTTAATATTTAATATTATTATATTAATTATGCCAGAGTATGAAATATCTTTTAAACTATTATATTTTTTAATTTTATCTTTGAATGAATATCAATGATTTTATTACAAAGATATTTCGTGTAGATTAAAAAAGAAACATCATATCCTATTTCTTCTTTGTAGTAGCGTCCAGATGAGTACTGGCGTCCTGGAACAGCTTTATATCGACGTTTCAGAAACGTTGCAGTTTGCATCTTAAGAGCTGAGAGCTTTGATATTAATTATTCTCTCCTCTTCTTTCTTCAACACAAGGAAAGGGATACCTAAGCACACTCACGAAAGAGGAAAATTCAATATCAGGACTCCTCAGCCTTGAAGATGCAAACTGCAATGTTAGCGAAACGTCGACATAAAACTGTTTCAGGACGCGGTACTCAACCGGAAACTATTACAATGAAGAAATTCACCGACCATGAAACCCTCAAATCTGAAACAATCAGTGCACATACTGACGTCAGATTGGCGACAGATCCACAGACATCTGTGTCCACAATCTGTTGTTAGACTGCCGGCAGAGTATGCTAACACAATCTATGACAGCTCTGACAGCAGCTTGATGGCAGAATGCAGATCTTGCTAACGTCTATTAGCAGGCTCTGCACGCAATATACCACGAATCTGCCATAAAAACCTAATTAATACATACTGTGTGCAATCTATTGCCTTTGTGTTACAAATGCTGCTAAGAGATTGCTCGCACAGGTTTGGTTATTTGCTTATTATATTATTTCTAGTTTTCAATTTTTCAAAGAATCGTAATCATTACTTGAACATACCTTATCGAGGAGTTTACCAGCAAGTAATTCATAAAATTAGATAATTTCTATGGCGATAATTGTGTGAAGACGGAAGACAACAACCAAGTACTACTGGTACAGTCCGAATATTGTGTCAATTCCGTTGTAAACCTAAACATAAAATGTGATTGATTAAAATCCTAATGTTCATTGAAGTACAAGATGTAGCACATTTATTACTAACATTATAATTTTCCAGCAAAACATAAGGTTAGGATAGAGTAAATTATATTAAAATATTCTTAGTTATACAAATCGCACAGAAAATATTAAACATTGAATGGCAAAAGGATTTAAGTATAAAGACAGATACAATTGTAAATTTGAAGGATTTCGAAGGACCTTTGATAAATATCGGATCCTTGAACCGCACGTTTCTTTTCGGTGGGAAGTCATGAGGTCTGTTGTTTGGAATTGCACTGCTGAACTATCTAATCAAATGTTGCACGGATTATTTCATTGGCTACGAAGGTCTCAAGGGCTGCGTTCTGTAATTCACTGACAGCATTGAAATGCTATAGTATACGTTACATGAACTATAGATTTTCAGTACTGGCAGTGAATTAGGGAATGTAGCCAAGATAAGCTTCAGAAGGTCTTAAATGTAATGGAGGATTGTGTCACAAATACTGCTAATAGATTGCTCGCACAGGTTTGGTTATTTGCTTGTTATGTTATTTCTAATTTTCAATTTTTCAAAGAATCGTAATCATTACTTGAATACCTTATCGAGGAATTTATCAGCAAGTAATTCATTAAATTAGATAATTTCTATGGCGATAATTGTGTGAAGACGGAGGAAAACAACCAAATACTACTGGTACAGTCCGAATATTGTGTCAATTCCGTTGTAAACCTAAACATAAAATGTGATTGATTAAAATCCTAATGTTCATTGAAGTACAAAATGTAGCACATTTATTACTAACATTAATTTTCCAGCAAAACATAAGGTTAGGATAGAGTAAATTATATTAAAATATTCTTAGTTATACAAATCGCACAGAAAATATTAAACATTGAATGGCAAAAGGATTTAAGTATAAAGACAGATACAATTGTAAATTTGAAGGATTTCGAGGATTACCTTTGATAAATATCGGATCCTTGAACCGCACGGTTTCTTTTCGGTAGGAAGTCACGAGGTCTGGGAGTCGATTGCGTGTATTGAAACAAGTGAATGACAAAAGTGAGTGAATTTACTAGAATTCACCACGTTTCAAGATACGCAATCGATCTGTTTTTGTTTACCTCCCAGATAGCACAATGTCTACAAAGATGTTTAAAAACTTCTAAAAGAAGTAGGACGTCTTTTAGACATCTTTTAGAAGTCTAAAAGACATGTTTGCGCACATTTTGCTATCTGGGCTGTTCTTTGTTGTTATTTGTCTGTTGTTTGTTGTTATGTTGCACGGATTATTTTATTGGCTACGAAGTATCTCAAGGGTTGCGTTCTGTAATTCACTGACAGCACTGAAATTCTATATACGTTACATGAACTACAGATTTTCAGTATTGGCCGTGAATTAGGGAATGCAGCCAAGATGAACTTCAGAATGTCTTAAATATAATTGAAGATTCACACGAGATCGGATGATACGATATATCCCATAGGAGAACAATTTCTTATAGAATACCGGCCTTAGGGCCGGTTGTTCCAAGTTTAAAGTAATTAGTTAATTTGTCTATTTTTATTCCTTCCTTAAATTAGACAGACAAATTATGATTAAACTATTATTTAACTTACCAAGAAGTTGAAACAATCGGCTCTTAAAGATATCTTCTAAAAGATATCATTTAGATATCTATTACAAATATATTGAAGATATCTTTTAAGATATCTTTCAGATGTCTATAGATATCTTTTATAAATTCTACAAAGATATCTTCCACTACATCTATTTAGATATCTTATAGACAACTTGTAGATATCTTTTAGAAATATCTTAAAGAAATCTTTCATAAGATATCTTTTAGACATCTACAAGACCTCGTTGTTTTCTGGGTAGTTATATTGAGGTTATATAATTTGGTTTCATAGTTGTAATATAATTCTGTTATAAATCTGTTACACTGTTTTGTTATAAACTAGAATAACATTATAATAATAATATAACAGTAATGTAACACGTTATATAACAATAATTACGTTCATATTACATTAATGTTATACAATACAAATTCATGCGCAGTCTATTAAAAGCTGCAAATGCTTTTTATTGCGAAATAAAGTATTGTACAAGTATTGTATAAAAAGTAATACATTTCGATAGAGAAAGAAAATAACAAAGCGGAACAGAAACAAATAAAAAAAATGGTGGAAAGCTAATCAATCAGAAATTCCGTTCCGCTTTTTTTGTAGATGTTTTATTTTGTAGTTTCTATTTTTTATGTATTTTTAAATACCTTCATCGTGCTTAAGCAGACCATATTGACGTTTATATGCATACTGATATGTATATTCCCACAAAAAAGTATATCGAATCCACGTAGAACGCATTCGTTGCATTCACATGGAATCCACAAAACCACATGGATTTCACGTGGACACAACGTTCTTATTTTCGTGGAGATATCCACACT